TTTTTTTATTAAATTTCTCCGATTTTCGAAGTTAGCCTAAGAAATCGAGCTATGGTTCTTCGAAGTTCAAAATAGAATCTTTGGCTAAAAATTATTTTTTATTATTATATGTAAATAACTAAAAAACTAAAAATACAGTCGTAGATCGATCTCCTTTTGCTCTTATTTAAATGGTATATAACTTTTTTTTGCTAACTTATATTATAGGTGCTATAAGGGGCAAAGGTCGGATCTTCGAAAAATTAAAAACCTTATATTTCAAACAATTTTGAACCGATGTTTAAAAAGTTGGTATCCTTGTAAACGTGATAAGACCCCCTTCTTCTCTTCTGATATGCATATTTGTACACTTTGTATGTAAACATTTGAGAAAAAACATTTAAAAGGAAAAAATAAATTTTTTATATAAAAAAATATATATTTTCAACAAACAAATTACTAACAGATTTTTAAAAAATTGAAATTTTTGTTAACGCAATCAAATCTTTCTTCTAATATGCGCGTTTGTATACTTCGTGTATAAAAATTTGAGAACAAACACTTGAAAGCAAAAAATATTTTTTTTATAAGGAAAATAAATTTGAACAAAAAAATTACTAACCGATTTTTGAAAAATTGTTATCGTTATAAAGGCTACCAGAAAACTTAAACTTTCTTAAACCCAAAAATTTTGTTTTATATAACTTAATAATTATTACGTTGTATTTTGTTTCAAAAACTATTCATAAATAATTTAAATACTTTTTTGAAAATAACTATTTGAAATATATTTTGAAAAGAACAAGGTAGGCTGTTACCTGAAATATTCGTTTTCAAACCGTATTTAAACAATAGAAAATTTTGTAGAAATTCAGTTTTTGTTCAACTTTGAAATTGGATTCTCATAAAAGTTGGCTTAACAAGTGAAAATATTGGAAATAAGCAACAAGAATTAATAAGGCGAACTTAGCACAGTGCGTAGGCAACTGGCTGAGTCAGTGGGATCGTCGGTTCGAATCCTACTGAAAGAGGTCTGATGAGGAAATGTGGAGATTTCCGAAATAGCTATCACTTCTACCATTTTTTCAAATTATTGTTGCTTTTCCACAATAAGTTTTAATAAAAAAAAAAATGGCCTCGAGCTCAATAAAAATTGTTGAATAGAACTAATAACGTTAGAAGGACGGAATATTGGAAATTTCCAAGGATATTCAAGATAAAGTTTTAAAAGGGCATTTTCAATACTTATTCGTCCTGGTGCACCCAAAAATTATTATTTTTCCACAGAATTTTTCCTTTTAATTGATACCTATATTAATATTCTACAATGCACCGCATCTTTTAAATAATTTTTTCATTCAATCATATTCTAGTAATTTCAAAGTGCTTTAAAAAAAGTCTTGACGTCAGAGAGAAAAACTAAAAACGCAGTTTCACTATATTTGGCCCCCAGTTTTGTAAACATATTGATTTCTTCTTGTGTAAAATTGACTGTCGCACGGTGTAATAATATTAATTCGTTTATTTAACCATTTTTGCTATTAAAGATTTTTTATTGGTTCCCCATTGCATTTTCTGGGGTTCTTGGCGGTCCTATAAGATCTAAAGACTTAAAAAACTTGGTTACAATTGGGTAATAATACTGGAAAGCTCCTGAAGAGAAGCAGAGTTTTCCAATCGAAAAATATTGGTTTTCGAAAATTCTATACCATGAAGGGTATCTTTTTTCCGGTATAGAACAATCCTTAGGGGTGGAGATAGGGCTTTAATTTTAAAAATTGTTTATTTCAAAAAGATAAATATTTCATACTCGTGATTTGACCCAGCAAAACCCATCCTTCGCTACCTTTTAAACGATTTTCATACTTTTTTTAAAGAGTACAAATGTTAAGTGGTTTTCAAACAACACAATTCTCGTATTCCCTTAAATCACACAAGAAATTAAGAAAAATTAAAGCATGTCTTTAAAAATTTCTTTTTAAATAACTTGTTTTCAATTTAAATTTTTTTGTTTAAATACGAGATATGCGGAAGTTTTGTTGTTCGCACACCACTAATTTGTGATGATGAATATTTTTCTGTAATACCTCAGTTATGCTTACTTGGCGTTGTGTGGGAGTTGCCACATAAGGAATCTGTTAAAAGATCCTTGCGTGTAAGCGGTTACCCATCGCACAGCCTTACATATGTAGAATTCTGTTGGATTTTGATTTTTATGTAAAGATGGAATAGCAGTGCAAAGTATGCATAACTGAGCTATAAGCAAAGCATTTGTGTTCGCAATGCAGACTCGCATGACGCCTTAAGCTTTGAGCGCAAGTAAAACAAGACTCAGACGACCTAGACTATAACTTTGTTCAGTGAGAATGGCTATATGATGCACTCTTTCACAATTATAGCATAAAGTTTGAATTTGTTGGACTGTGTTAAGTTGTAAAATTGAGTCACAATTTGGCTTGATTTTTTTTTTCATGTGGCTTAAATTTCGCCTTTGAAAGAAAGCTTACGTAATGCCGGATTGATGTCATATATTAGAACAGGTATATGTTGTTCATCATATATGCATATACACTACATATGTACATATTGTACATATGTATGTACATTGTTTGTTATGCATGTATGCAGTATAAAAAAGTATACTTAGGTGCAAATGTATGTATGTGAAGTTTGCAATAATAGGTGTTGTGTATTTGTTATTTTTTCATTTAATTTTTGTTAATTATTAAATTTATGATTGCAAATAGTTGAAATGAGTCAGAAATATGAGATTCTTTGTGACATACCCAGAAGATAATTTAGGTAGGCCTTCTTAAGTGAAGCCATTCTAAGAGACGTACCCTAAAGGGATGCCTTCTGTGGGTAGCGAAAGAAGAAGACCTTCAATTTGTGCCACTGCATATAAAAAAGAGGAGAGACGAATGTAAAGTGGAAGGCCTCTTGACTCTCAAGAAGGCCTTTCAGAAGGGCTTTTAACTCCTGAAATTATCTACTGGGTAGCTAACCATAAGTTTGAATATGTGTATAGTAAATAGTATCTAAAAAGTCAGCAGGAGTTTCCTAATTGCAACTCTCTACCAACAATTTTCTACCATCATACTTGTAGCTTCGCACAGATGTTGTACCTAAGACGGCTGAGAATTTTCGGGCGCTGTGCACTGGTGAAAAGGGCTTTGGCTATAAGGGTTCATCCTTTCATCGAGTCATACCGAATTTTATGTGCCAAGGCGGTGATTTTACACAACACAATGGTACTGGAGGCAAATCAATCTTCGGAAACAAATTTGATGATGAAAATTTCACACTTAAACATACTCGCCCTGGTATTTTATCAATGGCTAATGCGGGCCCAAACACAAATGGATCACAGTTTTTTGTTTGTACTGTAAAAACTACTTGGTTGGATAACCGACATGTCGTGTTTGGCCAAGTAGTACAGGGCATGGATGTTGTTAGACGTATAGAGGCACTTGGTAGTCAGTCGGGTAAAACATCGAAAAAGATTGTTATCGAAGATTCTGGGCAATTGGAATGAGAATAATAAACGTAAATGCGAATGTATGTAGAAATAGTATGAAATTTAATGTACATACATACACATGTATGTGCATGCATTTTGGATAAGATTAAAAGTAAAACTAAATTAATAAAATTGGTTGGATTATTAAAAAAGTGTGGTTTTGCTTTGAGAATGCATGAATTCGTCTGAATAAATATGTAGTATGTTTGCAAAGTGATCTGATTTCGAGTGCATAGTGTGTTGAGAGACTCCAGGGCTGCTACAAGAATATTATTGTTTACAAAATGGAATTCTAATTAACTTTGTGTGATGTGTCCGTGTACTAAGTAAAGAATGCCAAATATCCTAACCAAAAGCTTACATACTAATTAAATTGCATTGTTGTATTACAGCTCCGTCCTGATGTTGTGCCCAAAACTGCTGAGAATTTCCGTGCCTTGTGCACCGGCGAAAAAGGCTTCGGTTATAAAGGCTCCTGTTTCCACCGTGTCATCCCCAACTTCATGTGTCAGGGTGGCGATTTCACAAACCACAATGGCACTGGCGGCAAATCCATCTATGGCGCTAAGTTTGCTGACGAGAACTTCACCTTGAAGCACACCGAACCCGGTATTTTGTCAATGGCTAATGCTGGACCCAACACCAACGGTTCACAGTTCTTTATTTGTACTGTGAAGACAGCTTGGTTGGACAACAAGCATGTTGTTTTCGGCAAGGTTGTCGAAGGTCTGGACGTAGTTAAAGCTATTGAAGGTTTGGGTTCACAGTCTGGCAAGACAAGCAAGAAGATTGTGGTCGCTGAGAGTGGAGCGCTTTAAACAGCGTTTTTAATTATAATATACTAAACTGCATAACTACATGAAAATAAGAAAGCAAGCTAATAATAAGAATAATGCAACACTCGAGCAGCATTGTCGCATTTAAATTTATCAGTACTTCAACTTTCTAGTAAAGTATTTGGAAACACGAGTTGTTTAATGATTCTCCTGCAGATTTTTTTCTATCAAAGAGCGAATAATAAAAATTCAATTTGGAACTCTATTAGAATAATCATAATTTTTTGTTTTATTTCTTAGCAAGCAATTAAAACTGGTTCGCTTAGGCGTAAAGCGAGGATAAGGAATAGTCACTTTTTGCAGCCATTTTTTATTTTAACCTATCATACATGGTATGCACAAGCATGTCGCTGGTTTNCCCCTGTTTTTATTTTAACCTATCATACATGGTATGCACAAGCATGTCGCTGGTTTATTGGAGAAACGCATTTAAAATTTTTAGTCAGATTTTTCCCCTTGAACAAAAGTGAATAACTAAATAATATAAGAAATATGCTAAAGGTAGATTCAGAGAACAAATCTGCTATCAAACACTCATTTAGATGAAAACATTCTGGTTATAAATGTTCAACAAAGTGGAAAAGAGTAAAGCTGCCCCAAAAACTAATTATTTTCTTATCACACAAAGTTTACAGATTTATATTTACAGCCCGATAATGTGCACTTGATAAATTAAAAATATTTATAATTGTAAATTTTATATTATTTATCAAGAATTGGTATTCTAGCACAGAAATCAAAAGCTCTTTTCTTGATAAATTATCAAGATTGAAAATGCTATTGACAAATTGATATTTCATATGAAACGTATAAATTTTGTATGTATATTAAAAAAATTGTTCTATCATTTACTGCATGTTCCGGCATTTGGACCTGCGGCACACAGAATATAATATATTACAGCCGACATCTCTACCTACTCGGCTACAGCAGTCAAAAGCTTTTTTGCTTTTAAATTCATATTTTTCATATGTGACAATGAAATCAGTTCCACTCATGTCGTTGCCTGGGTAAAATATTGTCGTGTGCTAATTTCGGCAGGTTGTGGGAAATCGCGATTGAAGTTTGGAATGCAATTTCTCAAAAACGCGAAGATAGATTTCCTCCAAAGTCTCTGAAAAGGTTACTGGTTCACAAAATTCTTAAATTATTTAATTTTTAATGTTTATTGTTAATTAGTTTTGAGTACATGAAGGATTTTCTTTAGTAAAATTTTGTCGTAAGCGTCATTTGTCCACAATTTGGCAGCCACTTTGTATGAAATACGACAGAATGTGATCAAAATTTGTAGGACACTTTACTCAATATCTCGGAAACTAAAGGAGATATCCAAAAATGGAGAACGCCATTTTTAAGATGTTGATTAGTTTAATATGGCTGCATCACTAACTAAATTTTTACTAAATTTTCGAAAAAATTGTAGTCAATATCTCGGAAACTAAAGGAGATATCTAAAAACTGATAAACCAATCGAAAGACCTTATTTCAAAATATATAACTGCATCTAGAACTAAAAATCGTCAAAGTGGCGCTTACGACAATCTTTTACCCAGGCGACGATGTGGAAATCAGTTCCCCTGATGTGGAAATCGTGGAGCTTTTTATTTTATAAATATTGACACAGAATGCGATGAGAGCTTTTACTCGATAAAAATCCTGATAAAATTTCGTTACAAATAATTTATCGAGAAAACACAGAATTGGGCGGGTCAATTTATTATAAAAAGCAAGTAATTTTTAAGCAAAAAAAACTTAATTCAGTTCTCATATAAAAATGTGAGATTATCGTTAATTTCTTCCTGATCCGATGGCTGGATTTAAACCAAATTAATATGGGACCACCTGTGAGGTAACACGTTTCCTTTAAATTATAGAAATCGGTTAACGTGGTCCAAATTTATGCGGTAACATATAAAAAAATATATATATATATCCGACGAATTGATAACCTTTCTCCTTTTTGTGAAGCGGTTACAAAAATTGAGGTCGGCCGCCGTTTTTACGTACATATGTACATACAGTAGAATCTCGAAAAAGTTAACCGAAATGTTCCAAGGGCAATTAACTTTTTCGAATTAACTTTTCTAAGCGCTTTGCGAAGGTCAACAAATATAATATAGTTTTAGGAAATAACACGCTAAATTTATTTCAATTACTTAGTTTTCATCATTACGAAAAAGGAACTTGGATTTAATTTGCACCAGCACATGGAGAGTTTTCTTGTTTTCTTCTTCATATGTGCTCGCCACTTTCTCCAAAATTTCATGACGTTTTTCTTTATCTTTGAGATGCCCGCTTTAGATGCACCATAATCCGCCAATCGATTTCCGTAAATACCTCTATCACTTTTTTCAATCTCAGCTTTTTGATGTAGATTTAATCTGATTTTCGATGACTTTTTCCTCTTTGTTGACATTTTTAAACACACAAACAATACACAATTCACAAACTCAAACGCACGACAAAAATAAACTCAGGGAATACCCGTAAAGAAATTGAGCTCGGGCTTGTTTTTGTTGCCAAGTAAATAGTTGGTTTGAATAATGTATCAGCTCAGAAAAGTTAACCCAAAAGTTAAATTCGGTTAACTTAGCCGAGCGATTAACTTTTCCGCGAGTTAACTTTTCCGCGATTCTACTGTTTTTGTTTTCTTTTATTCTGTTGATTCTGTTTGTTTCTTCCATCAAACGAGCGATATATGGCCGCATTGCAGTATTATTCGTCGTACCCCGTTTTTAGTAAAATTTAGCCTCAGCGTCGCTTGTTTTTTAATTAATTAGTAATTTGAATTAATAAAAAAAAATGCTAAATGTGTTTCAAAACTCCCAATTTGCAGCTTCGCACAGATGTTGTACCAAAAACTTGTGAAAATTTTCGAGCTTTATGTACTGGTGAAAAGGGATATGGTTACAAAGGCTCCACCTTCCATCGTGTCATTCCGAATTTTATGTGCCAGGGTGGCGATTTCACCGATCATAATGGCACTGGTGGCAAGTCGATTTACGGTACCAAATTTAAAGACGAGAATTTCACATTGAAACACGAAGGACCAGGCATCCTATCCATGGCCAATGCTGGCCCGAATACTAACGGTTCACAATTTTTCATTTGCACTGAAAAGACTGAATGGCTGGATAATAAGCATGTTGTTTTTGGCAAAGTTGTCGAAGGCTTGGATATAGTGAAGCAAATTGAAGGTTTCGGTTCGGATTCTGGCAAGACAAAGCGCAAGATTGTAATTGCTAATTCTGGCGTATCGGAGTGAATTTGTGCTATTTTAGTTTTTCTAGTTTTACAAATTCATATAAATATTCTGTGATTTTGGTTTGGTTGTTGTTGTGGTGGTATGTTATGAATTGCTTTAATTAATAAAAATGTTTGATTATTTTGATATAAAAAAAAGACTGTAAGGCCTCACTAGCACTATAAAACATATACCCGGAAAAACATTAATTCATCTGAATTACCTCTCACATGGCATAACGATCGAGCATGCAGTTATTGCTTTTTAGAAGACACTACATAGTTGGCATCAATCGTTCCTAATTGTTGTAATCCGAAAGAACTATTTAATGAAATCGTGCTTGCCAATTTTGTATAAATATTTCCAGCTCCGTAAAGATGTTGTTCCCAAGACCGCTGAAAATTTTCGCGCCTTATGTACCGGAAAGAAGGGTTTTGGTTATAAGGGTTGCACTTTTCATCGCGTAATACCGAATTTCATGTGTCAAGGGGGCGATTTCACGAATCATGACGGCACTGGTGGCAAATCTATCTATGGTACAACATTTAAAGATGAGAACTTTAAACTGAAGCATACTGGTCCTGGTATACTGTCTATGGCTAATGCTGGCCCTAACACTAATGGCTCACAGTTCTTTATTTGTACTGTGAAGACAGCTTGGTTGGACGGACAACACGTAGTCTTTGGGCAGGTTATTCAAGGCATGGACGTGGTTAAAGCTATGGAGGCTTTGGGTTGCGCGAGCGGTGGACCCATGAAGAAAATAGTTATTGCTGATTGTGGTGAATTAAAATAGTTCGCAAATATAATTTGGATAGTGATTGTACAAGGGTGGTCCAAAAAATGCATGTGAAAAAGTAAAGTCGGAATTTTTATGCTGTCACCCCCTAGGATTGTTTCTATACCGAGAAAAATATACCCTTATTTTTTTTATTTTAAATCAAAAAATATTTAGGAGATTGCTCAAAGCGCCCAAAGTTTTCCATGTAATTTATATGGGGAAAATACAACTTTTCTTAGAAATGGTATAGAATAGTTAAAAATCAATATTTTTCTACCAGAAAACTCTGTTTATCTGCAGGAGATTCCCAATAATTATACCCAATTGTTTATTTAACCATTTTTTTATTGCAACTATAATTTATAGGTCCGCCAAAAACTCACAAACACCCCGAATTTTCCTATCGAAAAATATTTGATTTAATATTGACTTAAGAATTTTATACCATTTCTACGAAAAATTACATTTTTCCATATAAAATTCATGGAAACTTTGACCTCTAAATATTTTTTGATTTAAAAAAAAAAAAAAAAATAGGGGTATACTTTTTTCCAATATAGAACAATGCTAGAGGGTGGGAGCATTACAATTCCGACTTTACTGTTTTTGGACCACCCTATTGTACAAGTAACGAGTTGTATATGAGAGTTTTGATGAATTAGATTTGTGCACGCAAACATGCAGTAGAGTCGTACCTGTGAATTTAGTTTTAAGTTGGATAATTTAAGAAATAAAGCGAATATGAATTCAGATATTTTCTTTTGTGGCACTATTTCCGAAGCGCTGTACTTGTAAACCAAATTGAAAATTTTACAAGAGAAAATTTTTTTTAATAGTTAGTGTTTGCCTACACCTTGCTGGCGACAGTACGTTTTGGTAATTTTTTTACTAAAATTTGCAAGTTTCGTTGCACGGTAAGTAAAGATTTATTTATTCAGATATAAAAAACCAACGTTTTGTTTTGGTTTCGTATATATGATATATTCTTCGATTGTTTTATGCATGTCGAATTTGTTTTCGTGTTGTAATATTGTTTTTGTATTAGCGCAAAATTAGGTGTGCTATATGTAGGAAATTTCTTACAGACGGTTGTCTGCATCAAGCTTGGATTCTTTTAGAGGATGATAATATAGACTTCCATAGCATAGCATTATTTCCAGCAATAAATGCACATGCAGACATTACCGACGAGGATTCTAGCGGTTTCGCAAATCAAAAGCAGTATTCTAGCCGCTTATACACGTCTTTTTTTCGAAAACTGATTTCGATGATCAATGGGATTCCAGTGACAACATACCATTGCCCGAGAATCGGATGCATTTGGAACAAATCTCGATAAGTTTCAACAAGCAATACTCCCAAGTCGAAGAAAATTCGTATCGTAAAAAGTTTTAAGAAGACATGGGAATCGACTGTTCAGACCAAATTATTGATGAAAGAAATGGTATTTTCACCTAATAACTTACGGTGTGAAAATGGCTGTACGAAATGCCTGGCTGGTTCATAAACATAGTTGCGGAACAATGCATCACTTATCGTTCAGGAGAAGAATTACGACAACTTTATTCGCCCAAACTAAAAAAAAAAAAGGTTTACGCATAGTTCTAACAAAGAATTGGGACCGGCTGTGGCGCTTGTCATCAGAAAACCTCAATAAGATGCCAAAAATGTAAAAAAAGTATTGTCACAGACCGCACCAAGTAAGTCAGGTAAAGTTGATAGTCTGTCATTTGCCGAATATCCTATATATATGATGATATACATGTTTGCAAATATTTTTTGTTTTTAATCATTACCACACCCCGTCTTTTTATCATACGTTTAGATTTATATAATCGCAAAGCCCTTTGGAAAGTTAATGTAAACGAATGAGCATATATGTGACATTCTTTCTCATATCGGACACCAAATTTGGTCTCACACTTTCGATTGGCTTCAAATTTTTTATGGGTTCTATACATGAAATAAGCTAACACGTGTTCGAGGAATTGTTTTTTTCGCTTTTTTCTTTGTTCGTTATATCTCGGGTTCTGCCCATCGTAGAGACTTCATCTTAACGTCATTTTAAAGCTAAGAAACGGGCATAGTGAAGACCAGTAAATTAGGGATTTAAAATTATACCATCGTAATCCTTGTTTAAATCTATAAAAAACGTGGTTCAAAAAAATGGAGGTTTTTCAAGAACTATTTTTAAAATATTTTTCTTTGCGACGAGATGGTTTATTTTGTGAGAATCAACAATTTTTTGTAATTTGTATTCCAAAACTTAGTAAGGTCTTAAACATCGAGTTTTTCTGATCACTGTCGCATCGTATTCTCCATTAACCTAAGCAAGCCGACACGAAAACCTTATCGAAATCATTGTAGGACAAATTGGAACAAATTCAGCCACTTGATGTCTGGAACGCGTCCCCCGTACACGGTGGAGCCAATTTCAGCAGACCAACTGGAGGGAGCGGTCCCCTGCCTTTACGAAGTCTCTCAACGAATGTTACGTAGCAACCTGTCCCGTAGGACAAAACCTTCTAAGCGCCACCCAAGGTGGTGGACAGCCAAACTAAGGCGGCTCAGGATAGTAGCTAGGAAAGCTTTCAATAAAGCGAAGTTCTCTAAGAACGCTGGGACTGGAACGAATATCGTCGCAACTTCAATGCGTTCAAGAAAGAGATAAAGAAAGCAAAGAAGGTTTCGTGGTCCAAATTTTGCGAGGACATCGAAACTACTACTGAAGCCGCGCGACTAAGAAGGTGCATCTCGAAAAACCCGGCTCCTCCAGGAGGAGAGCACACCGAAAGAGCCTTGAAACACTGCAACACCTTATGGACATCCAATTCCCTGGCTGCACACAGGAACTCCTGTGACAGACCACCCTAGTACCCACACGCAAGGCAGTTCAGTGGACGAAATCATCACTGCAGATAAAGTAGCTTGGGCTATCAGATCCTTCCAACCCTACAAATCTCCGGGTCCGGATGCAATCTTTCCAGCCATGCTACAACGAACAGGCGCCACGGTAACCCCCTGGCTAACGACAATCTATAGGGCGAGTCTCCTCCTAAGCTATATCCCAAAGCCATGGAGGGAGGAGAGAGTGGTCTTCATTCCCAAAGCAGGAAATGTGGGCCACTGCGCTGCAAAAGATTTCAGACCAATCAGCCTCTCATCATTTCTTCTCAAAATAATGGAGAGGCTTCTGAGTCTGCAGATCACGCAACGCCGTCTTCCCGTGAACTTCAGCGAGGCTCAACATGCCTACCGTAAGGGTAAGTCGGTTGAAACAGCCCTGCACGAGGTTGTTAGGAGTATATAGCAAGCACTGAACCACAAGGAATATGCGCTGGCAGCCTTCTGGGACGTGGCGCCTTCATGGTGGCCGTAGGACTGGACCCAATGATCACTCTCTGGATTGACAATATGTTGAGAACCGGAAGCATCAATAGCTCCTTGGGAAAATCAGAAGCAAGGAAAACAGCCACACGTGACACACCTCAAGGGGGAGGCGGGGGGGAGGGGTGTTATCCCCCTACTGTGGAACCTCGTGCTGAACGAATTCTTGCTCCGTCATCGAAAGCCGCTAAGGTCGTTGCTTATGCGGATGACTTAGTCATTCTGGTCGTGGGAAAATTCTCTTCACTGTCAGCGAAATTCTACAATCTGCAATTAACTATCTGACAGGGTGGGCATAACGAAACGGTCTAGGGGTCAATCCCACTACAACCGAACTTGTCCTCTTCACCAAGCGATATAAAATAGACAATTTCCGACCTCCGCCCCTCAATGGAGCATATCTGGAATTGTCAAAAGAAGCAACGTTTTTGGGGGTTATTCTCGACTCTAAGCTTTCTTGGAAAAGGAACACCGAAGAGCGGAGAAAGAAGGCGCCCAATGCGCTCTACTCCTGCAACGCTACTATTGGAAAAGGCGGGTCTGCGACCGCAGATAATACATTGGATTTATACGGCGGTGTTTAGACCTATCCTCACCTATGGCGCGCTGGTATGGTGGCAGGCGGTTGACACCAAATCCCATCTACTTAACTTGCAAAAGGTGCAACGACAAGCATGCTTATGCACAACGGGGACGATTTATTCAACGCCCCAGGCATCGCTAGAGACCCTGCTTGATATTCCACCTATTGACTTATATGTTCAAAGTATCGCAGTTAAAAGCGCTCTACGACACAGTGCGTCTAACAAGCTGCGAACAACTTGCAAAGGTCACGCCACAATCGTCGGGAGAGTGGGGGTGGAGTACAGCAACTGTGACTATCAAGTCACGGAAATTGACTTCAATCACCTCTCTTAAAATTCGACCTAAATTTTAAGATGCACTGATTTTATAAAAAAAATTGGCAAAACTATAGCATTTTTAATTGGTAACACTTCGAGTGCCTACCTCTCAAGACCGATAGAATACAAGATTGCGCTGATTGATGTGAAATTTGGGAGAGTAACGTGAATATGGCGTCATCACAGATTTGCCGGTGGAGAGAGGTGAGAGAGATCTGTCAGTATGTATATTTTTTGTATATGAGTCAGGCAATGAACAAAATCAGCTATGACGTCACCCTTCTGTCAAAATTTTCAAGAGAGAGTTAGCAGTATCACAGTCTGCGCCACCTTCTATGTATATTCGTTTCGCCATGCCTACCTCTGTATTTTTTCTCGCGGAACCTACCAAAATCCAATCTAGTGTACCAACCTACGAAATGGAAAAAACCTACCAGTTTTGGTAGGAATATCCCATGTGTAGCAACACTGCATAGTACCTTTGTATGTACATAAATACATACATACTATTTTGCTTGTATATTATTTAGGTAAGTTTCTTAATTTTTTTGTTTTAATTAATTCTTCATTTCTTATGTATGTACGTATTTTGGTATTAACCCCTGCCAGGCTTTGACTACGCGCTATTTTCTGCGTCATCTTTTGCTTTTGTTGACACGTTTGCTTTTGGTACAAACAAGCCCAAAACGCCCGCAATTATAAGCGCCACTGATGGGCTGAAGAGAGCTAATTCACAATGTGTCTTGATGAGTGCACCCAAAATACTAGATCCAGAGACGCTGCCAATACGACCAATCATGAGAGAAATGCAAACCGCCATAGCTCTGAAAGAAATTTTTCAAATTCAAATTGTTTTCAGCTTTTAAGATGTATGTATGTATTTCAAAAATGATCAATTCGTGCATATACCTTAAATTCGTTGGAAATATTTCCACTACAATTGCATTGACCACTGTAGTGCCCAGGCCACAGCAAAGGTTAACCACAAAGAGGTATATAGCCAGAAGAGGCAATTTGATAGAGAAAGCCACAACGCCACAAGCTCCACTTACAAAGAGAATCGCAACTGCAAAAAAAAAAATGAGCATATAGATATGGTAATCGCTTCTATGTTCATAACTATGTACTTTATAATATAACTACTTACAAAGAATGGGCCTTCGACCAAATTTGCTGATGGCATACATAACTATTAACAGTAGCGATACATAAATGAATTCCAGAAATAAAGTGTGTTTATATGTCGAAAGTTCCAAGTGCGTAACACAGCTATCCACCTATCGTTGTGTTGGAGAAATATTATTTAAAGCCTTAGGAAGCATGAAAAACTATTGTTGCACTTACATTGTCATTTGCGACTGTAAGATTTCCCGATTGTGCGATTTCGATAATGTTACAAAGGCTTTCCGGTTCCGAAGTTTTCTCTGTGTATTTTATTGTAAGGTTAACGATGTACGGGAACCAGATATATACGCCATGGGCATTAAAAAATAAGATGTACAATATGATACTAGATAGGAGTGTTTTTCGTATGTGTTCTCTCATAAAAAGTGGCGCTGTTTGTTTCCACATCGATTTCATTATGGACACTATTACATTTACCTTTTCGACTTCCTGTTTTTTCACAATCGGTGTATCGGCATCTGGTAGCAAGGAAATGTCCTGCAAATGTTGGAGGAATTAAAAGTAGTGTAAATATTATTTTAACAAGAAGTGAATGATTATACAGCGATGCATAGAGGCAGGGCCAGAAAGGCCCATAGGCTCTTTCAGTGGTGCGGGCACACCTGGGAGTACTAAGGCAAACAGCGAACACGGATCTCCTCCAGACTTTCGATTTTTAAAGTTGTAAACATAACCTAACCGTACAATTAAAAATTACGATTAGGTTTTTCCATGATAATATATTTTTTTAATTTTTGTTTTAGATATAATTTTTTCTTTTTCTAATTAAATTTGTTTTGATTTTATTGCNAAATTACGATTAGGTTTTTCCATGATAATATATTTTTTTAATTTTTGTTTAATTTTTTCTTTTTCTAATTAAATTTGTTTTGATTTTATTGTTTTTTGTTTTAGTTTTCTTGTGGTTATTAGTTATTATTATTTTAAAAAGAAAAACGTATATATTTTCTTTATTTAATTTAATTAAAAAAGGGACAGTCCAGCGCCTTCGTCTTGGTTTGCAGGCTCCGATACAGCCGCTAAATTTAAAAGTAAATTACGTGGTATGGTGATATTGGTATATCCAAGTTAAAAACGAAAGCACACACTAAGAAAAAAATATCTATAACAAAGCGATAGTAATATCGATAGCAAAATCGATAAAAACATCGATAAAAAAATTGATGAAAATATCGATATCAAATCGATAATAATATCGATAGCAAAATCGAAAACAAAATCGCTAAAAATATCGATAACTAAATCGATTACAAAATCTGTTACAAAATCGATGACAAAGTCGATAACAAAATCGATTACAAAGTCAATAACAAAATCGATAGCAATATCGGTAATAATATCGATAGCAAAATCGATAACAAAATCGATAGAACAACCGATAACAAAATCGATAAAAAATATCGATAACAAAATCGATAAAAATATCGATCATTATATCTATAAGTTCCGAAAATATCGATAGCAAAATTAGTAACAATATCGATTACAAAATCGATTAAAACATCGATAACAAAAGCGATAATATTGATAGCAAAATCGTTAACACAATTAATAAAAACATCGATAACAAAACCAATGAAAATATCGATGACAAAATCGACAAAATCTATCAAAATATCGATAACAAAATCGATAAAATTATCGATAACAAAATCAATAACAAAACCGATGAAAATATCGGTAAGAAAATCGATAACAAAATCGATAAGTAATGGATAATAAAATCAATAAAAAAGTCGATAACAAAATCAATAAAAATATCGATAAAAATAGCGATCATTATATCGATAAGTTCCGAAAATATCGATACCAAAATCGATTNTATCGATAAAAATAGCGATCATTATATCGATAAGTTCCGAAAATATCGATGGCAAAATCGATTAAAATACCGACAAAAAAATCTATAAAAATATCGATAACAAAATCAACAACAAACCCGATAAAAATATCGGTAACAGAATCGATAACAAAATCGATAAGTAATCGATAATAAAATCAATAAAAAAGTCGATAACAAAATCAATAAAAATATCGATAAAAAAATCGAATTATTTCGATAAGTCCGAAAATATCGATAGCAATATCGATAACAAAACTAACAAAATATCGATTATTATATCGATATGTCCCGAAAATCTCCAAAATCCCCAAATGGTTCCCAGATTGAGTTTCTGCGCCTCTATCTATATCCTTTTCTCTACAACTACCTTTATTTTAATCTTTCTCCCTCTATATTCATCTATACTTTTTACGGTAACCTCATCCTCATATTTTTCTTTATATTTATCTTTGTTTTTATTTTTATGTTTATCATATTCTTCATATACATATTCCCCTTCACCTTTGCCCTTATATAAGTAAAGTTTTTAAATTTACCTTGGTCTTCATTTTTGCCTTTATCTTTACGCAACTTTGTTTTTGTTTTTATTTCTACCTTTGCCTTTATCCTTTTCTTTATCTATGTACGTACTCACCTTGACTTTTATTCTGGGATTGGTCTTTTTCTAAGTGTTTTCACTTCAAAAAGTTTTCTCGTATTATGCATACATGTGTTCATATATACATATACATATCGTCGTTTAAAGTACAAAACCGCGTATCGTAATTCTGCAAAACCGCGTAACTGACATTGGCTGCCAAAAATTGGATTTGCTCACACAAGCTCTTGGCTCAATCCTTATCCATTCGTCCTGAAATATACTAGCCAGAAATGCCCGGGTAATAGTATAATTTTGCCGCGGGATATATATTCAAATATGAGGACAATAACTACAAGAAATTAATACACAAGACGGATCAATTTACTAGTAACACTAAAATGGAAGTCCACAATAGAAATTTTTAGTTTCAACGCATGAAATTTACGTAAATTTTTTTACTTTCAACCCCCGAATTACTCAATTAAATACTTCATTTTCTGCAGGATCTTCATTAGGTTAACTGCATTTCCAAATATTTTTTTTTATTGTCATCTGGAGGTCATGCCAAGGTCATCCCAAGGTCAAATTCCGATGAATTTTCAGGTTTACTCAATGAATTTTTCCCTACTTGACCTTCAACTGACCACGAACCTGACGTGGTGGAGACCAACGGACTTCGGATTCGGATTCAGCGTGTCGAATAACATAGGGATGTATAGGTTTGGTTTAATATGCATAAGCTTTTTTTTTTTGTAAACCTGTGTTATTTATCAGAAGCATTGTCTCTTGCACACTGAAAAAAAGTTGTACAAACTCTCAAAATTGCGAAATCGCTACAACGAAAAAAAAACCATAAAAGAGACCTAAGTGTATATAATATTTTCACTTTTTTTTTTGTAATTTTTTCTTTCCTTTCTTAACCGACTTCCAAAAAAGGAGGAGGTTATCAGTTCGTCGGAATATTATTTCTTACATTTTTTTATTTTTTATTTTTTTTTATGTATGTTACCGCATAACTTTGGACCACGCCAACCGGTTTCGATAATTCTTTTTGCATCGGAAAGGTAGCGTCCCAGAATTGGTCCCATATTAATCTGGTTTAGATCCGATCATTGGATCATGAAATATATATATATATATTTTTTTTTTATATGAGAATTGAATTTGTTTTTTTTTTTCAAAAAATTACTTGTTAATTTTTCAAGTGGCGGGGGCCCATAGGCTGGCGCCTATGTAGCCTGTGCTTGCATAGGCGCCTATGTAGCCTGTGCCTTTACATTAGGAAACCCGCAGATGAAAGCAAGTTTCACCTATCGTTAATCAAATGTAGAAAGTCCTTAACTAAAATATTTAGTGGGATCTCTTCTTCCCTATCTTTAAACCATTAGTGTAGATGGTTTTACCATTTACCACTTTTGAAACCAATATAATACTTATGTATGTGAAAATGTAAAAACATGAATTACCAAGTCGGGGTTGCTCTATATTTTGGCTGTATTCCTACTTCGGGCTTCGACCGGAAGTTGGTTAAACAGACCGGAAGTGCATTATTTAAACCGGTAGTCTATTCCAGAAAAAAGTTTCCGACAAAAGTTATTTATTTTTGTCCGCAGAATGAGAATCTATGGGAAAAACGTGTATGGAGAAAAATGGACTTCCGGGCAGTTTAACCACATTCGGGCAAAACCGGAAGTCGGTAACGCGACCAAAAGATAGAGCATCACCGACTTGGTGTTTCTTAGGTTTTTAATAAAAACATTTTAGTTTTTTTCCTTATGAATGTGAACATTTAATGACAGAAATTTCGCAGGACCGTTAACAAAAAAAACTTAAAAAAATTTAAGCAAGTTGTTATAAATTGCATTTGTCATATGGAAAAAATGCATAAAATCAAAAGAAAAAACAAAAAATAACTCGTAGCCGGTTCACTGTATATAGAAAAAAATATAGTTTACTTTTTTAAAGATAAAAAAATTACATAATGAAAATAAGCTTCTATAATTATTAGACTTACTTGAAAAATGGGCGCTGTAGCGTTATTTTTCGAATTTATTCGGTATATTCGCTCTAGCACCTCCACGGCTTTATCTGCTCTTCCCGATGAAAGCAAATACTTTGGACTCTCCGGCAAAAAGAACATTACTAAACCACACAGAAAGCCTGGTAAACCACAGGCGAGTATGTAGGAACGCCATGGTTTGAAAGTTATATTGATGTATGGTACGTAAAACTCCCAGTCTTGGTTGATGAAAACAAATGCGATGATGGGAAAGAATATAGCGGCAGTCGCACTTATTAAAGCACTACCAAGTATTGCGCGATTACGGTGTTTATGGCAGTGAAACTCGCCGACGTAAGCAAATATTGTTGCCGAACCAGCCGAAACTCTGCGAAAATTGTAATTAAAATACGTTTAAATTTGTACATGTACATATGTAAATACAATAACTATGTAATGTATGTCAGTGTTGGCATTTTTGGTACAATTGTACATTTTTGATACAGTTTTATTTACTATATACTTTCCTACTACGCAGTACTTTTTAGTACAATTTTGTTGAGTACTATAAATAAATATATAGCTCTGAATATTCACTGCGGGACATTTTTTTATTCTCTTTTTGTCATCGCCTTCTCGTTTTTGCCTTTGTAAGTTTTGAAAAAAGGTTTTGAACGAACCATTATAACACAGCACAAGGTGTGCTATCAACCTCACATTCCTAGGCAAGTTTTGAAAGAATATTTTCGTTACCAAATCTTATTGAAACAAAATTTCGAAATCAGCTTCATATAGAAACGATGCCGTCGTTAATTAGAAAGAGATGTTCTTAAATATCACAACTTTGCGACACTCACCTATTGACTAGATTTGAGTATTTATTTTATTACTTTTTAATTTTAATAATTTGTTTATAAAAACATAGTTTATTCCGTAACAAAAACTGTATGAAAATAAGTTTAAATCTTTGAACAACATAAAAAAAAAATCAGAAACTTTCGTAAAAATTTCGAGCTTTCTATTTCAATTGTTTTTTTGTTTTAATAGTTTGCATTTTTTTAGCTCATTCAACTTTAGTTTGCACTTTATTTAAATTGATCGGGCTAGAAAACTGCATACTCAAAATATGTAGGAAATCTAATTAAAAGGCTCGAAATTTTTACGAAAGTTTGTTGATTTTTTAATGTTGCGCAAAGATTGAACCTTGGATTTATACGGGTTTAGTTAAAGTATAAAATGCATTTTTATAAAGAATAATTCAAATTACATAATTTTAAGATAAATGGCCAATCTTGTCAATATGTGCGTGTCGTAAAGTCTTGATAAGCACTTGAAATACTATTAAAATGTCCAGTTTTAGTACTGAATTCAAAGAAGATGTCTCTTTTATCCATTCATAATAACTTAAAAAAATTTGTTTGGTAAATACACATTTATGTTAAAAGTGTAAAATATGTTAATGTTATGAATACCATCAAATCATTGGTCTTGAAGAGAATCTATGTATGCATGTACTAAGAAAATATATCAGCAAATTAAAAAGTCGATACAATTTACAGTCGAAAAGTACAGTTTTTGTACAGATTTCCCAACACTGATGTATGTATGTATGTATGTACTTACAATATTCCATTTAAAAATCGCAAAATGGCGAATGTTATAAAATTAGGAGACAGACTTGAGCATATGGTGGCAATATATCCAAGTAAAAGAGCCGGTTGTATTATACGCTTGCGACCCGTTGTATCGGCTAAAAATCCCCAAAAGTGTGAACTCGCTATGACGCCGGCAAAGGACACAGCCCCCAATACGCCCGCCTCTTGGTGTGACAAATTCAAATCGCACTCTAAAACCGGCAGTGCGAAACTAATACCAATTGCTTCGAGCACAACATTTATAAGCACCATCCCAGAAAATAGAATTATACAAATATTGAATCTTCCAGATCCTACAAAAAATATTTTAATATATTTAAGTTGACTTAGCTTTACTTGATTTTTGGGTTGTTGTTTTTTTTTTTGATGTGTTGATGTTGAGGATGTTAAACCTTGCACTTCACATAAACTTCCTACCGCTCCACAGTGGTCAATAAATGGAATTTGATGTTCATAATTCACTGGAGCCTTCATTTCTCAACCGATTTGATTAATTATTTTTTTAAATGAAAGCTAATAAAATTTGCAAGACACCAGTTTAGCTTAATTTTCGAATTTTTATTTGTTTGTATTAAATTTTTTAGTGCAAAGTGCAGAAATTGCGCTAATTTTGAAGAAGACCGATTCTCCTGTTCCAGCTAATAAAAGTTTCATAATAAAAACTAATTAAAAACAACTGTAGGGTTCTCCTAAAACAAAAAAAAAAAATTAAAAAGTAATAATTTGAAATGTTATAAAAAAAATGTTACCAAAATTATTTTTTTTGTTTTTAGTTTTTATAAAAATTTTAGGTATGCAGTTTTATAGATTACTAAATTTTAGTATAATAAAGTGCACGTTGCAAGTCGCTAAGAGTTGGCGTTGATTTTTAATATTTTTTTCGCTAACATTTCGAGCACATCTGCATGCTAAATGGGAAATAAAAGCGTGTTTTTATGTTATTAAAAATCAACGCGAACTCTTAGCGACTTACAACTTGCACTTTATTATACTAAAATTTAGTAATCTATAAAACTGCATAACTAAAATTTTTATAAAAACTAAAAACAAAAAAAATACTTTTGGTAACATTTTTTTTATAACATTTCAAATTATTACTTTTTATTTATTTTTTGTTTTAGGAGAACCCTGCAATTATTTTTAACTAGTTTTTATTATGAAACTTTTATTAGCTGGAACAGGAGAATCGGTCTTCTTCAAAATTGGCGCAATTTCTGCACTTTGCACTAAAAAATTTAATACAAACAAATAAAAATTCGAAAATTGGGCTCAACTAGTCTCTTGCAAGTTTTATTAGCTTTCATTTAAAAAAATAATTAATCAAATCTGTTGAGAAATGAAGGCTCCAGTGAATTATGAACATTAAATCCCATTTATTGACCACTGTGCGCTCTGAGTTACTAAAGTTAACTAAAAATTATGAATTTACATAGCAGCGAACATAATGCGTTGGCATTACCCGTTAACAAAAACGAAAATATGAGCAAATATGATTAATCGTTCTTATAGAAGGTCAAAAGCCGATGTAATTTGATCCAGAACACACTTCTTTATTTAATTCACTATATTTGTATCGATCACCACTTACTCACCCGTCCTTTCCAGCGCTTCGTCAATAACTAGCGCTTTGCTTTTATCATGCGATATCGACATTTTGATTGCACTTTTAAGCGCTTATGACAGTCAATAAATTTGATCTTTGCTTTACGATTAACTAGGGGCAGTAGACTTCCGATGCTCTTTGTCTACGAGCACATTGAATCTACTCTCGTGAAGAGATAATCAACCCCATCGTTTACCGCTAGCAGCCGCTGGCGGCAACGATCTTGCTTTATTTAAATATCTAAAACTCGCCAAAGATAGTAGCTGTGATATTATAATTTAGGAAAAACCCAAGTACATATGNGTTGCGAAATTCAAATATAAACCCGATGCGAGTCTCTGTTTTGTACAATTTGTGGGTCTAATATTTAAGAGCGTGTTCGAGGAAATGGCACGAGTAGATTTTGTGGAAAATTGATGCATAAGTAGTCTAAATATTTATTTTTCTCTACAATTTAAAATTCTTGAGAAATTCAAGAAAATCTGAGAAAAAGGGGAAATATAAAATTTTCACTTTTAATGCTTACAATTTTTTGCTTTATTGATGGCGTATTTAAATTAATACAGGGTTTCCTCAGAAAAAGTACATTTTGTGTAAGAATGTAGCTAAACATACAACAGTTATTAGAGGTGGCAAACTATCGATAGTGTCGATAGTTTTGTTTTTTGCCCCCTATCGATGAGTAGTGATAGGGTTTCTCAAAAAAGCCTAAACTATCGATAGTACTAGTTGACTATCGATAGTTTAAAACCTCTAGCACAGCCGATTTTATTCAAAATGTCTCCATTTTGTGGAACTGCACGTCAGTTTTTTAAGTTTGCAAATTTGTTATTATATGTGATACTTTCATTGTGATTCCTCCTTTAATGGCCGTCTTCTCAAGCAACCTTGAATTGAAAAGCCACCTTTATATTTAAACATTGCTTCAAAACTTATGGCTATATCTAAAGTAAAGCATTCCCAACAAGCAAAATAAACTTAATGAAAGTTTTTTTTAAGTTTTCAATTATCAACATTAAGCTTACAAAACGTTGATTTTTTGTTTATAAAACGCTTGAAAGTAAGCGTAATATAATCGAAAAGGAACATTGGTTATAAGCGTAGAAATATAAACTTGTAATAAATGTTCAAAAGAAAGCTTTTTATAAGCGTAAAAGTGTAAACTTGTAATAAAGGTTCAAATGAAAGCTTTTCGTAAGCTTATTAATATAAACTTATAATAAGTATTAAAAAAAACTATCTATAAGCGTATGAATATAAAATTATTAAAAATTTTCAAAAGAAAGCTTTTTATAAGCGCACGAATATAAACCTATTATAACTATTGAAACGAAAGTTTTTAATACACGTTTTTATAATCCTTTATTAAAACGATATTTCACTAATAACTCATACATAGATTGTTTAACATCTACCCGCCCTTATTGTAGAACCCTTTATGTAACATATGTATGTATGTAGTAACATCGAAATATTATAGGGGTCTTCATGAAAAGTGATAAATAAATGTTATAAATGTTGTACAAAGCTTTGCAATTTGATTTGCATGTTTTTTAGATAGTAACCCATATTTTCATAAAACAATTATAAAAATTTTTTTAAACAAAGAAAATAGCCAACACTTGCTAAAATATGTATTCCCTATTTACACCGTAAATTAAAGACATAAATTCATGATTACACACAACATTAAGCATAAAAAGTTAATTATTATGTATTGTTGCGTGCAGCAGCTTTTAATTTCATGCGATTATTGGCAAATTGGAAAAACGACTTCGATGCAGCTATATATTCCGCTTCATCACCGCCATTCTCATGTATGAAGGTTTCTGCAAATAATTTTGAATTGAAAGTAAAAGTAAATAAGAATCTGTCAGGAATCTGTTTCCTCTAGCTAGCTTAATAAGCTTATTAAATTATTATTATTAGCTTATTATTATTAACAACTGGGATCGGCTGCAGTACAACAAACGTTTGAGTCTCTTGCAGTTCCTCTGAACTACGAGTCTGCAATGTTGGTGTTGCATGAATGTATTTAAAATTAGAATGTGACATGGTCTGAGATAAGAGGAATAAAGCTGTACAAATTTTGCTCAATATTTGACAATGCTACAATCTTTGCAGTTATATCCTCAATTTTACACACTTCAATGGAGTTGTGGTACTTCAGATCTCTTGTGCAATAGATATTAAAAAAGGAAGACGGCAGGGGATTATCAAACAAATTTTCTAAGTCTTGAACACGAACACCATATACGACTTCTTCAGCAGTGTGGACAGAATGCACTTTGAAAATTCTCTTGTCAACAAGATAAAAATTGTCAGGTGCCCTTTCCGATAAGTAGAAGTTCTTATTTTTTATATATTTTTTCTTGACACTGTTTTTAATGCTTGCTCGGTTGGAATTTATGCTTTGCTCCACAATTCTGTTGTATAACTGAGAAGTTACGTTATTCTTTTTTTTTACAAGTGATTTTATTTTTCCAAGTTTATTCTCAAATTTAAAAGCGCTGATTGTCTCAAGGGAACCGAACTGTAATGAATCATCCGCCAGATGCGTTAAGCAATGAAAATTGTAGGTTAATAAATTTTCACTATATAAACTCTCAACTTTCTTCACAAACTCGTTTAAAAGCTCAGTGGCACAATTATTGTTCCTTTTACAATCAATTTTACATAGCAAAATGCGAACACCGAGGCTTAATAGCAAAAAATGGGCATATCTTTCATCATTTAGAATGCCCCTTAAAACGACAGGTCCAGTATACAACATAAATTGGCGAAATTCACTCGCTTTAAATCGATCCAATTCAGTAAGATCTCGCGGTTTGCGGCAAAACTCACGAGGAATGCAATGTCTTACATTTAAAAATTCTAAATTGAACGATCTAATTTTATTTGAATCCAAAGAATAAGTTTGATTTTTTTTTCTTAATCCATGACTTCAATAAGGCTTTCATAACGCCTAAGCAAACGACATGCATGTAGTCCAAAGGAAATGTTTTGATCATGTCTATAGGCAATTTTTCGAGTTCTGTCATAGTTTTTACGTTATGATGTTCTTTATCACTTCTCTGTCGAAAGTCACACTCTCCTCGATTTGTATTACTTTGATAAGGAAATACTAATCTAAAATCTTTTCTTTCACCTTTTTGAAAACACTTTGTGCAAGAGCTATACCCAGTATGTCCTTTGACACCTAGTAACATCGCTCTGGCTGGAGCATCACAAATAAATGCTCGGCAAGTTACATTATAAACGAAGTTATTTTGTAATAACTCGTTGAGTTCTTCGACAAATTCGCTCAAATATTTATCAACATTTGTTGGATGAGACTTTCCACAAAATATACCAACGACAAAAACCTCTTCTGTACCAGTAACATTGACCAAAATTGGCCACACGCTTCTCTGTGAGCTTTTTGAAATCGGAAGACCGTCAATGTTAAAGTTTAATTCCAATATCAATAATTCCGGCTTATGTATACGCATGAAATCTGTTAGGCTGTCTTTTAGTCCATAGTGCGCATATTCTCCATCCGCCATTTTTACTGTTGGAGGATCTTTCGGTGTGCGTTTCAATGTCCTAACATCCAAAGGTAAATGCTCAATTTTTCGCTGCAACATTGTAAGCAACTCGTTCCCTGCAGCGTGACTTATATTGTACTTAACAAGCCAAGCGGCTAATTCTTCATTGAACGTGGGCAAAACATTTTCGTCGGATAAGGATAACTCATCATATGAAGGCTCCAATGTTCCACTGATTGGNAATAACTAGCGCTTTGCTTTTATCATGCGATATCGACATTTTGATTGCACTTTTAAGCGCTTATGACAGTCAATAAATTTGATCTTTGCTTTACGATTAACTAGGGGCAGTAGACTTCCGATGCTCTTTGTCTACGAGCACATTGAATCTACTCTCGTGAAGAGATAATCAACCCCATCGTTTACCGCTAGCAGCCGCTGGCGGCAACGATCTTGCTTTATTTAAATATCTAAAACTCGCCAAAGATAGTAGCTGTGATATTATAATTTAGGAAAAACCCAAGTACATATGTATATTTAGATACAAAAATGTCCGATTATTTAAACCCTAAATCTGCAGTGTAAATATATATGTGCGCATATTAGACTTGTACGGTCCCGAAACAATGGGTGTTTACTCGTATTGAGCGCACAAAATTATCCAGCAGCAAAAATTCTGAGAATTTAGCAGCATTCGCTCTCAAAGAGACAAAATATCCACAGAAGTGCGAGAACGCAAATTTGCAAAAACTTGCCACCTTCGAAACAGCTGATCACTTCCACAGTTGCCACTGGTGGGTCAATTGGCAATTTATTTTCTGCTTGGTATGTTTTCACCTGCTGGTATGATTAAAATTTTTCCAACAGAAATTTGCAGCTCTCTATCACATTCTTATCTCTCAATTTCCCCTACTTTGCAAGTGTTTTGGGTACGAGAACGCAAAACCAGTATAATTTTTTTTAAAACTTTTGATAGTTTTAGGTACGAGTACACTCCTACATCACATTTTACCCTGCGAGCCAGCCTAATGTATGCATGTACTAGACTGACCCATTATACCCAATGTCATTATTTTTTTTGAGGCTGATAGCTAAAAACTTTCGAATACATACTTGTAAAAACTCACCTGAAAAAGTCTGGTTGCGAAATTCAAATATAAACCCGATGCGAGTCTCTGTTTTGTACAATTTGTGGGTCTAATATTTAAGAGCGTGTTCGAGGAAATGGCACGAGTAGATTTTGTGGAAAATTGATGCATAAGTAGGCTAAATATATATGTTTCTCTACAATTTAAAATTCTTGAGAAATTCAAGAAAATCTGAGAAAAAGGGGAAAAAATATAAAATTTTCACTTTTAATGCTTACAATTTTTTGCTTTATTGATGGCGTATTTAAATTAATACAGGGTTTCCTCAGAAAAAGTACATTTTGTGTAAAAATGTAGCTAAACATACAACAGTTATTAGAGGTGGCAAACTATCGATAGTGTCGATAGTTTTGTTTTTTGCCCCCTATCGATGAGTAG